CTTTATTTTAGTGCCAGCAGCAAGGGTTATGCGATAGAGGAGAGGAGAGAGAGAGAGAGGGAGAGAGGGATAAAGAGGCAAAATGCAAAGAGAAAAAAGGTGGGGGGGTTATAGCTACCAACAGACGAGACAGGGTCGCCGGTGTCTTCTTCCATAGAGAAATCTCTCTCAAAGAAAATAACTTGGAAAAGTCATTTTTACAGTCTGTTTCAAAGCAAGGGGCAGCTGGCCAAGAGGTGGGGAAATTCCTCAGCTATTGTGATAAGACCCCTTGCTCTGGGAAGCAGGTGTAAGGTACAGAACAGGCCGCTCCTTACAAGTCCCTGCTCAGCAGCAGGAATGAAGGCAGTGTACCTTGACAGCACAACAAGCACGCCTGCAAACAATCACCTGGCAAGCTTCCACCTCAACCAGGCCAGAACCCCTGCACAAAGTCCCTTGGTGTCTTCAGGGTCTTGGTCTCTGTTCTTGCAATGGTTGTGAGGCAGATGAGGGAAACTTCAGACTGTCTCTTACACCCTAGTAACCTCAAATGACCCCAAATTACCACAAATAACCCCAAATTACTCTAAAGGACCACTCTGACCCCATACTTGACCCCAAATGACCATTCTGGCCCCACACCTGACCCTACAGGACACAGACATTTACCCCCTGCTGAGCTCGGTCCTAAACAACCCCAAATCCTTCAAAAATCCCCAAAATTTGACCCTGGGAACTTCCTGGACGAGCAGGGTCAGTTCCAGCGCAACGAAGCCTTTGTGCCCTTCTCGGCCAGTGGGCACCCCAAAAATCCCATAAATCCTTGGGGTGGGGTCCTAAATCCTTCTGGAATACCAAAATTCCTCGGGGTGGGTACTCCAGACCCATTTGGGACCCCCACCCCTGAAACCTCCAGACTATTTTGGGACCCCAATTCCAAAGCTCCCAGACCCTTTAGGAACACCCCAGACCCTTTTTGGGGTAGCCCAGACCATTTTGGGACCCCAGACCCTTTTGGGATCCCATAGACCCCAAAGTCCCCAGACCCTTTGGAATCCCCTAGGCCCTTTTGGGATTTTGGAATCCCCAACCCCTGAAACCCCCAGCCCCTTTTGGGACTCCCAGCCTCTTTTGGGACCCGCAGTCCCTCTGGAGACCCCCAGACCCTTTTGGGACCCCCGACCCTTTGGGGTGGCGCAGTGCTGATGCCCCCTCCCCACAGGGCAGTGGTTGTGCCTGGGGGAGGCGCTGGCGCGGGTGGAGCTGTTCCTGTTCCTGACCTCGCTGCTGCAGCACCTGCGGCCGTGACCCCCAGCACGCCCCAAGGAGCTGCCCATTGCCCCCCTGGAGAGCAGCTTCACCAACATCATGCCCCACTTCCTGCTCTGCCTGCTGCCTCTATGAGACACCCCCCCCAAATTCCAGACCATTCCCAAAATTCAGGAACCGCCCTGGGAGCGGGACCCTTCCCCATGGCTGGAAAATCTCCCCCCAGATCCTCCCCAGATTCCACTCCCAACATCCCCCTCGCTTCCAGCTCAGGATGGTGCCCCGATGAGACCCTTCCCCAAATCCCACCCCCAAGATGCCTCCCCATCGCTGGAAAATCCCCCTAAATCCACCCCAAATCCCGCCCCAAAATCAGTAATTCCCCCTGAGACCCCTCCCCAAATTCAGGATGCCTCCCCAAAATGCCCCTCCCCATCAATGGAAATTCCCCCAAACCAAAAAAATTCTCCCCAAATCCCCTTCCCAAAATCAGAACCCCACCCAGGACCCCTGAATTTCCCCATAAAACCACCAAATTCCTCCCCCAAAATCCCAAATCTCCCCAAAAACCAAAAAACCCCCATACAACCCCAAAAGTCCCAAATCCTCCCAAGACTAAAAACTCTCCCCCAAAACTCCAAATTTCCCCCCCAAAATTCAAAATTTTCCCCCAAAACCCCCGAAAGTCTCCCCACCCCCCAAATTTTCCCCCCAAAACCACCAAATCCTCCCAAAATCCCAAATCTCCCCCTCAAGACCCTCAAATTACATCCCAAATCGCCAAAATTCCTCCCCAAGACTCTCAAATTCCTCCCCAAAAATATGGGGGGTGCCCCATAGCAACTAAATCCCCTCACCCCAAAATTCTCCCTGGACCCCAAATTCCCCCCCAAAACCCCCAAATTTTCTCCCCAAAACCCAATTTTTTTCCCCAAAACCCCAAATCATCCCCCTAAAAAATCCAAAGTTCTCCCCAAAACACCAAACTTCCCCCCAAACCCCCAAATTCCCCCCAATTTCCCAAATTCCAGAACTCAGGAGATCCCCCCAAAAAAACAGTGACCCCTCCCAAGAAACCCCCCAAAATTACAAGTCCCTCCCTCAAAAATCACCAAAAAAGCTGAGAACGTAAATTTTTATTTCACATTTTTCAACTGTTGGGTGGGGGAGGAAACCCCAGAATTCCTGTGATTTTTCTTGTTTTTTTGGGGAGGGGTTGCCCCCAACTTTTCCAGCACCCCAGGCGATACCTCCCCAAAGTTCCTGCCCCTCAGCCCCTCCAAATTAACTGCACATAAATAAAAAGAGGAAAAAAAAGGGGAGGGGGGAAGGGTAAAAATAAAGAAAAAAAAAAGACCCCCCATCCCCAATTTGGGAGAAGGGGGACAGAGGAAAAATTGAGGGAGGGGGTGATTCCCCCCGAAAAAATTGAGGGACCCTGTCGCCCTGAAAACTCAGCTTCTGAGATTGCTAACAGAGTTTTCTAAGGACTTTCCCAGGACGGTAACTATAAACATAGATATGTATACATTCTTTCTGTTACACGTCTTGTGATGGGCATTTCTCATGGCCAGTGCAGTGAGAAAGTGTTATCCTGACCATCCAATCCCTGGCCATGGTAAGAAGCCTATAAATCCTGGGAGGAAAAATAAACTCTGCTCTTTCTTTCACCACACCTCGACCTGTGTCCGCGTGATCTATTGATCTTCAGCGGTAACAAGACCCCTAAAAAAAATTGGGGGAACCCCCTCCAAAAAAAGCCCACTTTGAAGAATGCCAAAACCACCAAAAAATAGAAAAAAAAAAAAAAAGACAAAAAAGGTGAAAAATTTGGGGGAAAACCCCCAAAAATGTGTCAAAAATGGGGGAACTCCCCCTTGAATCCAAGGAATTTTTGGGAATTTTTTTTTTCCCAAAAGTAGCAGGTTTTTCTGGGTGGCAGGGGAGGAAAGATCCCCTCCAAATTCCTGGGGGTGTCCCTGAGATCCAGTGGAGGCACCTGGTCCTAGAGGGCGGACAAAAAGGGCATTTTAGAAAAATTAAGGGAATTTTGAGGGATTTGGGTGAATTTTAGGTAATTTTGGGATTTTGGGGGGGGTCTAGGGGCAGATCTAGATTTTGTGGGGTCTTGCATTCTGGGGACTCAGGATCATGTCCGGGGAGGCCACAGTTACCAGGAACAATGAGATGGGATTCTGCTCAGGAAACCATTTATTCAGCTCAGGAACAAACTCAGATCCAGAGACAGCCCTGAACAGAGGCAGGGAGATGGGGTTTGAGAACCAGGGTGGAGTTCAAAGTCAGGGACCACTGGGAACACAGCAAGGGAGAAACCCCAGGGGCCCAAACCCAATCAGAAATCCCTGGGTTGTCACCCCACGAGGGGTCCAGGATGGAGTTTTTTCCTGGATTCACAGGGCCCATCCTCTGAGGCAGAGGGATGGAATTCTGTTTTGCCCATGCCACTCACTTTAACAATGTTCATTTGAAACTAAATCCTTGCCTCCTTGGGCAGGGGCACCTCACACAAAAATACACTCAGTAACGGGCACCCTCTCCCATCATCATCCCCAAACTTTGGCTGTCTCATTGCAGACCCCACCCCACCTCCCCAATCCCAACCTCAACCCATCCCATTCCTGCTGAATATCAAGACACCTTCCCAAGCCTGATTTCCCCCATTTCACACCTCCCAAACTCCATCCCACCCATCCTGCCCCACCCAGTGCCCATCTCACCCCTCCTGATTTGCATCCCACTTCACCCAGTCCCCTTCCAACCCCATTCCACCTGATGCCTTCAGAAGGCTGACCTAGAACAGAGGTTGGACAGAGTTCAGAATAAAGTTTATTAAAAGGCCTTAAAGGATACAGCATGGGCAGTACAAGAGCCTGGCCAGGGCTACACCCAAGTTGGACCAAAAATGGTCACAAAAATGGGCAAGTGATCACTAGGTCTCACAGTTTTAAAAGTTTAGGTCTATCTGCATATTTGGGTTCATTGTCCAGTTACAGCTTCAGATGATGAAGTCCCATCCTTCTTGTTTTCTCTCTTCAGTCCACCCTTGTTCATGCTTTTGGGCATAGAACTTGTAACAATTGTCCTTGGTATCAAGCTAGAAAAGGAATTGTTTTGCCTACCTACTCTGTGAAGACAGCTCACTAACACTTAATATGAAGTTCAAAACTATAAACCTAGGTAACGTAGAATATGAAAAATATGAAAGCTAAAACTTAACGCATCACACCCTGAGGGGCTCTGGAATGCAGTAATTTTGGGTGGGACTGAGTAGTTTTCAGTGGCATTGAGTGGTTTTGAGGTGACAGATCGAACCCTCTTGTCTCTTTGAGTGCCAAGAAATGGAGACAACTCCACCAAATAAACCCACAACGCCCAAATACTCCCACGTATCTCTCAGATTCCCTTGAAGCACTAGTAAAATATGAGGTTTTAGATGCCTTTGATGAATTTGTTGCTTTTATCACTAATTCTGTGTTTTAAAGGGATGAAGATGAACCAGAAGATAATTAGGGCCAAATCTGAAGGACCAGCAGCCCAGTGTGTTCCCAACACAGATCACTGGGAACATGAGACATCAGGGCTCTGCCCAACATGGGTCCTCTGATGTGGGATGGAGCTGGAGCAGCGCATGAAGCTCTTCCTTCACTTGGGGCACATTCAGGGCTTCCCTTAGTGGTGCCTCTGTTGGTGTCTGGTCAAGTGAGAGCTCTGGATGAAGCTCTTCCCACACTGTGGACACTCATAGGGCCTCTCCCCAGTGTGAATGCACCGGTGGGTGATGAGGTGGGAGTTTTGCTTGAAGCCTTCCCCACAGTCAGGGTAGCGGAAGGGCCTCTCATCCGTGTGAATCCGCTGGTGCTGGAGGAGATGGGAGCTGGTCTGAAACCTCTTCCCACACTCAGGACACTTGTAGGGCCTCTCCCCAGTGTAGATCCTCTGGTGGATGGTCAGGTGGGACCTGTGGCTGAAGGTCATCCTACAGTCCCCACACATATAGGGACATTCCCCAGTGTGGATCCTCTGATGGCAGATCAGGCTTTTGCTGTGGCTGAAGCTCTTCCCACACTCTAAGCACTTGTAGCGCTTCTCCCCATCCTGAAGCTGCTCATGGACCACCAGCTCAAAGCCCCAGCTGGATCTCCGGCCGCCTTCCCAGCACAGGGTGGGTCTTTCCTCCTCAAAGCACCCTGGGATGGGTTTGGAGCCCCTCCTCCTGTGGGATATCTGGGCCTTTTCCTCCCAGTTGGATTCCTGTGCAGTGGAGCTGCTCAAAATGGCCTCTTCCACGAGGTTCTGCTGTGGTGCTGTGGGGATTTGTCCTCCCTGGTCTCCATCCTCAGCTCCTTGTCTGGGGGGAGGGAGGACAAGGAGAGGATGGGATTTGCCTCCGTGCCAGAGGGAAGGGGAAGGAGATCCCCCTAGTGCGTCCCCAGCAGGACAGCATTGGCAGCAGGGTTGTCCTGCAGCCGGGGGCCAGGCTGGGCTGGGAGATGGAGCAGGAGAGAGGGGGAAAGGAGCACTGACTTCCTTCGCACCTGCCTGAGTGTCCCGGGGCATTTTCCTCTTCCTCACAGCCTCCTTTTCCATCTGTCCAAGATTTGGGAATGGGAAATCCTGATTTGGGTAAAACAGGGGAAGAGTACCTTCAGTTTGAAGGTCCCTCGACCCAAGTCCATCTCTAGAAGTCACCGACTTCACCCGGAGAAGGGGCCTATGAAAACCTCCCAAACACCAAGATTCAGCCCTGAAAATGCCTCCCGGGACTTCCCCATCTCTGGTCTCTCCCTATTGCTGTTCAGGGGTTCCCTCTGTCCCAGCTGCTGGGGGTCATGCTTGTACTGGGGGTCCCCCATCTACTCAGTCCCTGCCCTCCCCAGGCTGCTGGGAGTGCCAGAAATCCAAAAAGTTCCTCCCGTTTCCATCTCCTCATCTAGGAATGATGAGGCTTTTTGGATTCCCATGGTCCCTTCTCCCCTTATTCTCTGCTTCAGGGTGCAGGGGGTTCAAGGAGTCCCCCCTGCCCCTCTCCAGGCTGTTGAGGGTCCTGTGAATTGTGGCACTCCCCCTCTCTGGGCTCCCCACTTTGGGGTCCTGGGGGTCTCAGTGCTCTGCTCCTCCAGGCTGCCTCTGCCAGCAGCCGCCACCAGGACCCCCCAATGTCCCCCCAAGGGGCATTTTCCTCTCAGCTTTGGAGTTCTTCATTCTCCAAACATCCCCCCCAAAAAACCCAACCCAGGGATCCCCCAGGATATCTGGGCCGAGCTCCCCTTCCCATGTCACCTGTGGGATGGGGGGGTGATGATCCCACAAGTGAGGGGCTGTGAATTCAGGGAGTGCTCGACCTTGTGTTTCCTTCTCCTTTCCTTGATCTTCCGTTTTCCCTCCTCTTCTTCTTCCTCCTGCTCCTGCTCTTCCATCCCTCCTTATCCTTTTCCCCCCTAACCCCACCTCCTGCTCCTACTTCCATCCCTTCTCACTCTCCTTCCATCCCTCCTCTTCCATCACTCCTCCTCCTCCTCCCCCAGGAGCAGTGACACCCTCGGTGCCCCATTCCTGAACCCCTCACAGCCCACAGGAGGAGTGGGGATGGAGCCGGGACAGGTGGGGATGGGCAGCGTGGGGCTCTCGGCTGCTCCCACCCGCTGGGGGTGGGGGGAACCTGGCCTGGGGAAAAGGAGAGGGAAACTGGGAAAGTTTGGGTCTGCAAATCCAACCTGGGGCTGGCTGGGGACCCTGTCTGGGGACTGCCAGCCCTTGGGGCTCCTCTGGGGAGATGTAAGA